AAGTGGTGACTAGAGACATCATGGAAGAAGAAGTCCCTAGGTAAGACTATTTGTATGAATTTAAGCCGTCTTGTTAATCCTTTTTTGTTTGAATCACTCTGATTTAGAATTTCCATTCCATAGCTTACTAGAGACTGCCCACAATGGATCTTATGTCAAGTATGACGTCATGACTCCTCTTCATCAACAGCGCAAATATTTCAGCCAACTTCGATTCCCAGTTTACTCTCAAACGGAAGCTTGGAAAGAAAAAGCAAGTCTCTTCCATTTATCTCATTCTTGTTTTCACCACAGTGGTGCATTTGATCTCTTTGGCATGAGGAATGTCTAAGTGGTTTGTCTGCTTTCCTCTGTTTTTGTTCTTTTGCAGATTAAGAGGCTTCATCTTTTGCTTACTGTCAAGGAGTCAGCTATGGATGTTCCGTCCAACTTGGAAGCTCGAAGGCGTCTTACTTTCTTTTCAAATTCACTATTCATGGACATGCCTGCTGCACCCAAGATCCGCAACATGCTTTCCTTCTCGTAGGTTCCAGTCACTTTCAACTTAATTTATGGTCGTTTTCTCGTAGGCTTACCATTTTGCGTTTTCATAGGGTCCTTACCCCATACTTTTCAGAGGATGTTCTTTTCTCCATATCTGGATTAGAACAGCAAAATGAAGATGGAGTTTCTATACTCTTTTACTTGCAGAAGATCTTCCCAGGTTTCACTTTTCCATCTGTTTTAGTTACACTGTTACTTTGTTTGAGCTATCAGCTGAGTCCATGGCTTACATCAGATGAATGGACAAACTTTCTGGAACGAGTTAAATGTGGTAGCGAAGAAGAGCTAAGAGCAAGAGAGGATTTGGAAGAGGAGCTTCGTCTCTGGGCATCTTACAGAGGCCAAACTCTGACTAAAACTGGTATATGGATATTAGTCTCCTCTCTTAATCTTTCATCGAATAAAAATCTGCTTCATTTATTTAACCTGACAAATTTATCTTTTGAGTTTTGATAAACTTGTTGTGCCTGATTTCTGATTTGTTTCAACTAGTGCGAGGGATGATGTATTACCGAAAGGCTTTGGAACTTCAGGCCTTCCTTGATATGGCAAAGGATGAAGGTGCTTGAAGAATCTTCGCTGTGATTCTTTTCGATTCTTAGAAAGTGTGAAAGTATTCTTTAAACTACCTTTGTTTTTGTTCTAGAATTACTAAAAGGCTACAAGGCTCTCGAGTTAACCAGTGAAGAAGCATCAAAGAGCGGAGGGTCGCTCTGGGCGCAGTGTCAAGCACTTGCAGATATGAAGTTCACCTTTGTGGTTTCTTGCCAACAATACAGTATTCATAAGAGATCTGGCGACCAACGCGCTAAAGACATACTGAGACTTATGACGACGTAATGTCTTCATTTCATCTTTTATCTTCTCAGTTGGTTTGTCATTAATTTCTATCCTCATTACTTAAGCTTGCTATTTCCTCATGGCAGGTATCCGTCTATTCGTGTCGCCTATATCGATGAGGTAGAGCAAACACATAAAGAAAGTTATAAGGGGACAGAGGAGAAAATTTATTACTCAGCTCTTGTGAAAGCTGCTCCACAGACCAAACCAATGGATTCTTCTGAATCTGTTCAAACTCTAGATCAGGTATAAGATGAGTAAACTAATTGTAAAATACTTAACATTTTGGTACTCCTCTTTTTCCAAAATACGAGGATGAAGATAATCCTATGCAGTGAGGATATTGATGCTGCTGTTCTGGAGAGACTGAGTTTTTTATTTCTTTTCTGTCAGCTCATTTATCGGATCAAGCTTCCGGGACCGGCTATACTAGGAGAGGGAAAGCCGGAAAATCAGAACCATGCTATAATTTTTACCCGCGGAGAAGGGTTGCAGACAATAGACATGAATCAGGTGCATTGCAGAGTTTTCTTTTGTCCAAGATGTGTCGCTAATGAATCTCATATAATATGCTTATGATTAGTTAAAAGAATGATCACCTTGGGAGACTCTTAACCTCAAAATATTTGACTAATAGGACAACTACATGGAGGAAGCTTTCAAAATGAGGAACTTGCTGCAAGAGTTTCTTGAAAAGCATGGAGGCGTAAGATGTCCTACGATTCTCGGTCTTAGAGAGCATATTTTCACTGGAAGGTACTAACAGTATGATCCTATTTTTGTCTGCTGGATTTTTAGTTTCAGTGCGCATACTGATCTACTACGTTTGTGGTGTTTTGTGAAGTGTGTCTTCTCTTGCATGGTTTATGTCAAATCAAGAGAACAGCTTTGTAACGATTGGGCAAAGGGTGCTAGCTAGTCCCTTGAAGTATGTTTCTTCCCTGTTCTGAAATCTTCTCAGAGGATTGTAGTTGTCAAAATTAACGTGTTCTTTCTGTTGCTGCTCCAGAGTACGATTCCATTATGGACATCCAGATATTTTTGATCGTCTGTTTCACCTTACCAGAGGTGGTATCTGCAAAGCTTCTAAAGTCATCAATCTTAGTGAAGACATTTTTGCAGGCATTTGCTTGATCTCACATTCTTTGGTGGTACACATATGATCTACTTCATGTTTTACATTTTTCTCATACTTTTTTACTGGTTTCAGGTTTTAATTCTACTCTGCGTGAAGGAAATGTGACTCATCATGAATATATACAAGTTGGTAAAGGGAGAGATGTGGGCCTCAACCAGATCTCAATGTTTGAAGCAAAAATCGCAAATGGAAATGGCGAGCAAACTTTGAGTCGCGACCTTTATAGACTGGGACACCGATTTGATTTCTTCCGAATGCTGTCTTGTTATTTCACCACAATTGGGTTCTACTTCAGTACCATGGTAGGTGGAGATTCTCCCTTTTTATTTGTCAATCACTAGATATATACATGGCAGATTGGCAGGTTTATTATTCTTTCTCAAGACTGAAGCCATTATTTGTGTTTTTGACAGTTAACCGTGCTTACGGTGTATGTGTTTCTTTATGGCCGGCTATATCTAGTACTTAGTGGGCTTGAAGAAGGATTGAGCAACCAACGAGCTTTTCGTAACAACAAGCCTCTTGAGGCAGCTCTTGCTTCTCAATCATTTGTGCAGATTGGTTTTTTGATGGCTTTGCCTATGATGATGGAGATTGGACTTGAGAGAGGGTTCCATAACGCATTGATTGAGTTTGTGCTGATGCAGTTACAACTTGCTTCCGTCTTTTTCACTTTCCAGCTGGGGACAAAAACACATTACTACGGAAGGACATTGTTTCATGGAGGCGCAGAGTATAGAGGAACTGGTCGCGGGTTTGTGGTTTTCCATGCGAAATTTGCTGAGAACTATAGGTTCTATTCCCGTAGTCACTTTGTGAAGGGCCTTGAGCTTATGATTCTTCTACTTGTATATCAGATCTTTGGTCAATCATATAGGGGTGTGGTTACTTATATTCTGATCACTGTTTCAATATGGTTCATGGTGGTGACGTGGCTCTTTGCTCCTTTCCTTTTCAACCCGTCTGGTTTCGAGTGGCAAAAGATTGTTGATGACTGGACAGACTGGAACAAATGGATATATAACCGAGGAGGAATTGGTGTCCCTCCTGAGAAGAGTTGGGAATCTTGGTGGGAGAAAGAATTAGAACATCTTAGACATTCAGGGGTCCGTGGTATCATCCTTGAGATCTTTTTGGCCTTGCGCTTCTTCATCTTTCAATACGGACTAGTGTATCATCTCAGTACCTTTAAAGGGAAAAATCAAAGCTTTTGGGTAAGCTAAGCTTATAGCTACTTCCCTGACTCCCTGTGAATGGTGAATCCCTTAATTATTGAACTAGACTGACTCTGTTTTCAGGTTTATGGAGCGTCATGGTTTGTGATCTTATTCATTCTACTGATTGTGAAGGTATGGATCTTTAAGCACATTCACATTCACATTGAATTTTCTTGCCAAATTTAAACATTGTGTTGCTTCCTTGTATGTAACGATCATTACCAGGGTTTGGGCGTTGGAAGGCGAAGATTCAGCACGACTTTCCAACTTCTATTCAGAATCATAAAGGGTCTTGTGTTCCTCACATTTGTGGCAATTCTCATAACTTTCCTCGCACTTCCTCTGATAACAATCAGAGACTTATTCATCTGCATGCTTGCCTTCATGCCAACTGGATGGGGAATGCTTCTCGTAAGTCCTTTTCTTCTCCATCAACCTCCTCTTTTTGTCTCTAAGAAGAGTATACCAGTTTTGCCTGGTTTTTTTAAAGTAGCTCTGTTTTGTCCTCCACTTCAGATTGCACAAGCGTGTAAGCCTCTGATCCTACAGCTAGGGATATGGTCATCAGTTAGGACGCTAGCTCGAGGCTACGAGATCGTGATGGGCTTGCTTCTATTCACACCAGTTGCGTTTTTGGCTTGGTTTCCTTTTGTGTCTGAGTTTCAGACAAGAATGCTCTTTAACCAAGCGTTTAGTAGAGGACTACAAATCTCTCGTATTCTTGGTGGTCAAAGAAAAGACCGGTCCTCCAAAAACAAGGAGTAACATATACACATGTAAATGGCGTATGTGTAGATTTAATGGTTATCTGTTGTTATTGTTTCCTTCCCAAGTAATCTATAGTTAGAAATTAGAAACCCTGTAACTTTCATAAATATATGTTGATTATTTTCCACAAGTTGGAGTCCACTATAATAGAAAGTGCATGAGACGTATCTTTTTTTTCATCTGGAAGACGAAAACTTTGGTTCTTTATTCTAAAAGACAAAATGAAAATGTTTATCACTTGAACTTTTCTACATAGGTCATGATAAAGACAGGACTAATCATTGTTCTCAATTATTTGTTGCTAGTTATTTTTTTTTCAATTCCAAATAGAACTACAGTAATAAAAGAAAATTAGCAATCATAAAACGCAAATGAAAGCAATTACTCTGTTTCTTTTTCATTATTATTTTATATGAATGAAATGAAATTGTTCGTAAGTTGTTTTTGATTATGAATTTGTTTGTATGTTCATTGACATGTAAACCTCAAATCTGCAAAAGGCAACCGCAAGTTTGGATTTATACGATGAAGCGTTTTTATCTAGTGAGCGTCACCACAGACGTCACAAGTTATCTGGTACAATTTGGAGACATCAAAATCCAATTGCTCATCTATATCTTTTTATATACATATGAAAGCACAGATCCACAAGGAGACACATATTCTTGTATTGAACTCACTTTAGTGGAGCAAAGACAAAAAAAAATGGCGCCACCACATTTTCTACTGGTAACGTTTCCGGCGCAAGGTCACGTGAACCCATCTCTCCGTTTTGCTCGTCGGCTCATCAAAACAACCGGCACACGTGTCACTTTCGTCGCTTGTGTCTCCGTCTTCCACAACTCTATGATCCCAAACCACAACAACGTCGACAATCTCTCTTTCCTTACTTTCTCCGACGGTTTCGACGATGGAGGCATTTCCACCTACGAAGACCGTCAGAAAAGGACTGCGAATCTCAAGGTTAACGGCGATAAGGCCCTATCGGAGTTCATTGAAGCTAGTAGGAATGGTGACTCTCCGGTGACTTGCGTGATCTACACGATTCTTCTCAATTGGGCTCCAAAAGTAGCACGTAGATTTCAACTTCCCTCTGCTCTTCTCTGGATCCAACCGGCTTTGGTTTTTGACATCTATTACAATCATTTCATGGGAAACAACTCTGTTTTCAAGTTAACGAATCTTTCTTCACTGGAAATCCGAGATCTTCCTTCTTTCCTCACACCTTCCAACACAAACAAAGCCGCATACGATTCGTTTCAAGAAATGATGGAGTTTCTCATAGAAGAAACCAACCCGAAAATTCTCATCAACACTTTCGATTCGCTGGAGCCAGAGGCCTTAACGGCTTTCCCGAATATCGATATGGTGGCGGTTGGTCCTTTACTTCCCACGGAGATTTTCTCAGGAAGTGCCAAATCAGTTGAAGATCAAAGTAGTAGTTATACACTTTGGCTAGACTCGAAAACAGAGTCCTCTGTTATTTACGTTTCTTTTGGAACAATGGTTGAGTTGTCCAAGAAACAGATAGAGGAGCTGGCGAGAGCACTCATAGAAGGGAAAAGACCGTTTTTGTGGGTCATAACTGATAAATCCAACAGAGAAACGAAAACAGAAGGTGAAGAAGAGACAGAGATTGAGAAGATAGCTGGTTTCAGACACGAGCTTGAAGAGGTTGGGATGATGGTGTCGTGGTGTTCTCAGATAGATGTTTTAAGTCACCGAGCCGTAGGTTGTTTTGTGACTCATTGTGGGTGGAGCTCAACGCTGGAGAGTTTGGTTCTCGGCGTTCCGGTTGTGGCGTTTCCGATGTGGTCGGATCAACCGACGAACGCGAAGCTACTGGAAGAAAGTTGGAAGACAGGTGTGAGGGTAAGAGAGAACGAGGAAGGTTTGGTGGAAAGAGGAGAGATAAGGAGGTGTTTGGAAGCAGTGATGGAGGATAAGTCGGTGGAGCTGAGGGAAAGCGCAAAGAAATGGAAGCGTTTAGCGATTGAAGCAGGAGGAGAAGGAGGATCTTTGGATAAGAACATGGAGGCTTTTGTGGAGGAAATTTGTGGAGACTCTCATGTTCAAAGGTTGTGTGAAGCAGAGGATGTTAAAGTAAACGACAAAAGAGTTGGTGTCTAGAAAGTGGCCAAATGAGTGTTGTTAGCTAACACTTTGTATATCAATTCAATTAAACACAAAATGTACTCCTATATATGCATTGAATAATGCTCGATTACAAAACATGTTTGACTGAATCACCTTTTGAGACTCGTGTTCGATCGATCGGCGTTTAGCTATTTTGTACCTCTGTTGTACTTCCGATTAGGTCTCAGGCATACCCGTTTTGGGATTGGGCCATTTCTTTCTTTTTGTTTTCTTCTTGGGCTTTTGGCCCTATTGTATTTTTCTATTTAAAAAAAAATCAAAACCTTTTGACAAAAAAAAAACTCAGCCATGAGTCCATGACAAATAGAAGGTCATAAATATTTTAGAAATAACTATGACTTAGAATTGGCTAGTCCTAAATATTTTGATGGAACATTTGATGCATGAAAAACAAAGCATAATAATCAAGAATTTTTTATTTTTGTTAGAGCAACATTATTGGTGGTATGCTAATATTGGCTCTTAGCCTTAGTTTAATATTAAATTTGTAAAGTTTAGAGTTAAGAGATTGTTTTATGGTTTTAAATTTTATGTGTCTCCAATGGTAGGTTCTTAACTTGTGGTTCTTAGGAAAAAAAAATTAAATTAACAATTTTAATTTTAGAAAACTTAATAATTGTTGCAAATGAAAATTTAATTTTTGGAGTTTAAATATTTTGGTTAAATGTGTTGGTTCTTAAAAATTGTAAGTGTTTTGGTTAAATTTGAAGTGTTTTGGTTAATTTTTTTGGTTCTTAAAAGTGTTCTTAAAAATTTGGTTACAACACATATACAGCAATGAAAGAGTGTTTTGATGAGATGGAGAGAAGTGTTTGTGTTTTTTATAAAACAAGTGTTGTATATATGGAAAAAATAAAGAGTTAGGTACAAGAACACAAACTAGAAAAAGAACACAAATACATCATATGAAAATAATGTTTTGTGGTGTGCAATCATTCAAACAATCACAAAACATATCAAGCTGACGATAGGAAGAAGCATCAAGCAGAAAATTTCCATTTGTGTAGAAACAGGTTTGCATCCAAGTCCTTGAAATCCATGCTTGATGTGCATGAAGAACAGTCGATCAATACACAACACCTTAGTTAAGGCACATCCATCTTCTGTTTTGACAGGGAGGCTCAATAATAGGTAACATTATGGCACCACCTTCACAAACATAGTGAAAGCACAACAATTCAAGACCATAATCATCATTGCCATGAACCAAAATAACCAAAACATTGGTCCTACCTGACTGTATCTTCCATGTCTTAGAACAGATCTAGATGAAGCAAATTCTTGATAACCATCAAACCAACAACACCTAACTAACTCCATTGCCAAAAAATACCACAGCCTAATGAACTAAAGATTAAGGCAGAGGAATCATACATATTGGCTAAATTCACATGGAAGAAACAGATTACTCTACTGTAAGACACATCATAGCTATGAGTCCAAGTTGTTGTCACAGTTGATTCTTTCCATCTTAAAATCAATGAAGTAAAGCTGCAAACTTCCACATTACAAAAAGGAAGACATATATATAACTATAGAGAGTTAGGAAATTACGCTGGCTTTGGCTTCAACAAAAGCACCACTCTCAAGGAGTAGCTTTGTAGCTTGTTACTTGGCTCTATTTCAATTGGAAATAAAAGCATCTGCACCTCAAAAGTCAATCTATTAAAATCGGTTTATGATTTAACAATAAAACTCCAAAGTAGACAACATGAACATCAGAAAAAAAAATTAAACATATATCTCAACGAGATTCATATATTGGAAGCCTAACCCATGGGAGTAGTATGATAGATTTAAACCCTTTCGATAGATTTCCACATGTACGTAAATTTTATGAACCTGAAACAAGTGAAAGACCACAAATTCAATCACTAAAGCTAAAACCGTGTGAGCCGACGGAGAGAGATTGAGCATGATTGAGAAGAACGGAAGCCGCCATTGACGAGTTCTGAAGAGAAAACGGGAACATAGAAATTTCATGAGGTGTGATTCTTCTGTAAAGCAAGTATCCAGCTAGCTCCGAAGCCATCACATGACTCTCGTCAAAAACAGGAAGAAGACCACCACCGCTCCTCTTCTTCAACGGTTTATTCCGGTTCATCCTGCTGTAATCGAAACGCGATCGGAGTGAAAACATGCTTGGGTATCGGAGAGAAACATCGGTCACCGTGATTTTGCCCACCTTCAACAAAAACCCAATCACTCGAAAACACAGACGAATCGCCGATGGGTTTCTCTGCCTCGAGAAGAATCGCAAAATGAGAGAGAGAGAAAAGAAAAAAAAACAACCAGCTTCTGCCACGTAGACGCCTCTTAGCTAAAGTTTTGTCTCTTGACTAAGGAACGTTCCTTAGTATAAATCAAGCTTTTACATTTAATTTAATTCAACTTTATTGTTAAGATTTGGCTAAGAAGCCCCCGTTAATCATGCTCTTAATCATAGTCCTTAATTAACATTTACAGAGACTGTGGGTCCCATTTTATTTAGTTGAGGATTTTACATTTACAATTTTTTTTTTTTTTTATCTTTCTCGTTCTCCCCATCAACACCAACCATTATGCAATATGCACTATGCAGATACAGACATCTCTTTCCCTCTCGGCTCATTACTCATAACTCAACCCTTCTAGTTATTATACATCTTCCTCTTTCTTCTATCAATGCTTCCACATAATGTATTCGATTATTATAATCCAACTTCTTGTTGTATAAGTTTGTTTTGACTTTTGATCATAGTCCTTAATTTACATTTAACGTTCTCATTTAATTACTTTAGGATTTTACTATTATATATCTAACACATATATTAGTATATTATTACTCAGTTAAATTATGTTACCACAAGCAACGTTGGGTCACAATCTCCAATGTTATAGTTAAAGTGCATTACAGTTCATATCTTTCCCTATCTCCCCATCAACACCATCTTCTTCTTCATGCAGATACATCTCTATCTCGGCTTTTAACCCAAAAAAAAACCCAAAAAAAAAAAAAAACACTTTTGCTCTCAACTCATAACTCATTACTCAACCTTTATAGAATCTGTGTACTCTCTGCTTGTTTTGCAATTCAGTGAACAATAGAGGAAACTGCAAACGAATCATCTTCCTCTTTCTCCAACGAAAATTTACTATACATTTTCCTCTTTCTCCTCTCATTTTCTATTTAAAACCTCTTCTCAAGATCTAAAACCTACATCTAAACTCAAACCACAAACACAACATATACACAACTACACAAGCATGTCAAAGTCTTCGATCTTGTCCGCAATAAAAAGGAAGACCACCGAAGCACTCAAAAATTTTGTGCACGTCGAGGGACAATCCATTATGAAGCAAGTAGCTGCTGTGGGAGCCAAAGAAGCTGGTGTCACCGACGTCCACAACGACAAGTTCAATGGAGAGCTTGGAGGAGCTTACTTTTCGGTCCTAACTCCCACGGTTAAGGAAGACCACTGGTTTGTGAAGAAGAGTGCTCTCTTGGAGTACATTATTGTCCGTACGTATATCCAAGTGACGTTACTAAGAAGGAGACTATGGAGACGGTCTATTCTGTGCAGATGCCGTAGAAGCCTCGGGATGGGTTTGAAGACGGCGGTGAAGCCGGCAGTTCCAAGTCGACGAGCTACAAAAAATAAACTAGCTATTAAGCATCTTGATCCTGTTGTGTTTTGTGATAACGTTATTTGACTCTACTCTCTTTGTTTGTTGTGTGACTTTATGTTTCGTTTTGATTAAGTTATTGTGATCAGACTTTGGTTTTTTAAATTTAATATCTATTATGTTATTCTTGTTTGTTTTGTATTGTTTTTCTATAACATGTTTTGTCCAGGAAGTGTGATCTTGCATTCAAGATGAAATTGAGCCTCTACAAGAACCGGCGGGGACAGATACGCCATGGAGAACTCCAAGCAATTTTCATTATTTTTCTTTTGTTTTTAATATCCAGTAATTTGTAAGAAATACATGGATATTTTTCGTGTTATTATTAAATGGCAGAAATACATGGATTATTTTATTTACTCAATAATTACTAAGACTAGTTAGTTTTTTTTTAATATTTATTTTCTTTTAAAATTTAAATATTTAATTTAGTAAGTTATTCATGCAAAGCATAAAGAATGAGGACATAGGAGTAGTTTGGAAAATTAATAAATAAACGGACCCCAAAAAAAACATTGAAGTATTGAACAAGAAGAGAGAATAAGACATTTTGGTAGAAAAAAAAAAAAAAGATTAAGCAAAAATGAAAAACCATAAGTTTTATGGGAAAATGGGAACCGAATAACCAGAGCCGTCCCTAGTATTTAATAGGCTGCAAGCAGGAAAAAAAATTTGGGCCTATTTTAGTGAATAAAAATATTAAAAAAACAAAAAATTAAGAAAATGAAGGTAGATGGACTCGAACCATTGACCTTCTAACGCATCAAGGAAGCACATAACCAGCTTAGCTACTGAAATTTTCAAAAAAAAACGGCCGAAATTTTACTTATAGTAAATGAGGCCGCAAGCATGGGCTTGGCCCGCTTGTATTCATGGCCGGCTCTGCGAATAACAAGACGTGTAGTAGTATCATCAAGACATCAACCTAGAACCCACTCGACTCGACGACATATAAACCTTGGGCTTTAAATCTTACCTCACGGCCGGGTTTGCTTCTCTAATGTGGTTAGTGGGCAATCTATCTCTGTAAATTGATGGGCTTTTGATTTGTACTCCCTACGTTTCATAAGTCGTTTTGGAGAAAAAATTTTGTTTCATAATATAAGTCGTTTTCAAGTTTCTATGCACTTTATATATTACTTTAATATTTTATAATTATTTATATTATGCAGTCTCTTTTATGATTGGTTGAATTTTTTAAAAATAGATCTTTTTAATCTGCGTGTTTAAAACTAAAACGACTTATATTATGAAACGGAGGGAGTATTAATCAATGAGGTTTCGTAAATGTAAAAAAGATTGGTTTAGTTTTTAAAAGTCACGTGAATTTATTGAACGAGTGGGTCCACGATGGAATGAATATTGGGTAATAAATTATGTATAGAAAGCGAAGAAAAATGGAAAAGGTAACTTGGAAAGAAAAGTCTTCTTGCTGCTACAAACGAGTACTTTGGCTTGGCAAGATTCCATTAATCTGTTTCACCGAAAAGGAAAGAGGAAAGAAACGCTATGTAATCAAGCCTTTTAAACGGTGAATGAAGATGGGAGACTCCATTTCTTTTATGATATTGGGAAACTCAATTTCTAAATCTTCCCGGAACGATATTCCTTCTAATTATATTCTGTGGTCTCTTGGATAATGTCTCGACTTCTCTTTGGTCTCTCCAAACTCTCTTCCCGGAACGATGTGCTTGTATGTGAGCTTCTCTTCTTTCTCTGTCTCTATTGGTTTTGTTCTGTATTACTATTAGTTAGGTTTTGTTTTAAAAGGCTTTGTAGGGGACAAAATTTGAGTTTGTCTCTAAGTAATGACTTCAGGAAGATAAGGATCAGTGGATGGAGATTGGCTAGGAGTAGTTAGACAAGAGTGTTTACATTACATTTCCGTTCTGATGTCCGAATCACTTGGCAGATACACAAGAGAGTTCGTTTGTTTTCAACCAGCCCTTATTTGACACTTGGCACTAGGGTTAAGGAAGTTTTGCCGGGCGGCTGCAAAACTGGAGATGTTCTTTTGTTTGACCCGACCAAAGAAGAGATAGTCACGGTCCCGGACAAAACAATTCCCAAAGAGCTCATGGATGAAGAAATGATGGGAGCTTCCCATGGATGGGGATTTTTCTGTGACCGGCGCGATCGTTCTGTTCGTATCAGCGACATTTTCAATCCTTTGGCATCCAAATCAAACCCTGTCATGATTCCTCTGCCTAGGCTTACGGTTCTGCCCACTGGCCAAACCGAAGAAGTCTGTAACGTAGCAATGTCCTCCTCTTCTCCTCTTGGTGAGGAAGACTGTGTAGTGGCTATCAAGTTTTCGGGTAACCAGCTGAGTCTGTGCAGGCCCGGTTGTGACCTTGAGTGGACTAACATCTTAACCCCTATCAACTGTTTGGAAAACTCAAATCTCATGTATTCCAAAAGAGACCGAAGATTCTACTTACCTGCTCCTGGAGGCAACTACTTGTTCTCATATGACCTCCACTTCAAAACTGACGACTTCCCTGAGCTCCATGAGTTGTTCTATCGCGACCATCCAGAGTTGGATCAGTCCGAGTGGGAGCTTTTGAGTTCGTGTTCCAGGACTGAATACCTTGTGGAGTCACCTTCTGGTGATGAACGTTTCCTAGTCAAATGGTATTATATCTATTTATACACTCATAGTTACTTATACAAGTATGTAAATTCATTAAAAAATGCTGGGAATAAGCGTGCTTTCCTATGTGCAGGTATGCGCTTGGCTTTTTTTCGTCAATGTTAAAAGGAATCTACTACAAAACAAAGAGGTTGATGGTGTTTAGAGAGGAGGAGACGACGGAAGGAAAGATTATGTGTTACACAGAGGACATTGGAGACATGTGCATTTTCCTTGCAAACAACGAGGCTTTCTGCATCCCCGCTAGCTCATGCCTTGGCCTCAAGCCTAACTCCATCTATTTTATGGGACGTGGCTTAGGTATTTACGATCTCACTACCGGTGAGGCACATCATTATAAAGCTCCCAAAGGTGCACCCAGCGTTCTCACCACCCCTTACTGGCTTCCTCCATTTTCTATCTAGTCATACTATTTCTGTCTTTGTTCAACACTTTAAGTTTCTCTCTACCGGTTTGGATTGCTAACACCTAAGATTGTTTATGTTTAAGTTCAATTTTAGGGTCCTTTAAACTTTCTCTTGGAGGTTCAATTTGCCTATATCTATAGAGTTTCTTTGCAGTATAGTAAGTCCTTCAGAATTTATCTTGGAGGTTCAATATGTGTGTATAAGCTCATTTTTTTGACAATGAACTTAAGGTTCTTATCCTAATGTGATATGGGGGCCAACATTTCTAAAAGAATAAGTGCCACGAACCATAAATTAATAACGTCGAAAAGGAACATAGAGATGACCCTAAAGTAGATCATAGCAATCCAAATCGGTAGATCGAAACTAAAAATCGAAACACACCGCATATAAAACCAACACCAACCAAAGAACTAGGTAGAAAATGGAGGAAGCCAGTAGGGGAGGAAAGGAACCCTTTCAGGTCCATCTTTGGGAGGTTTAAAGTGATGGGCGGTTCGGGTGGTGAGATCATAAACAGCAAAGCAACGGCCCATCAAGTAGATGGAGTTAGGTTTGAGACCAGGGCAAGAGCTTGCCACAACACAGAAAGGATCACTCTTTGAAAGGAAGATGCAAAGATCTCCAATGTCCTCGGTGTAACACATGTTTCTTGTTCCCTCTTCTGTTTCTTCATCCTCTCTAAACACCATCAATATCGGCTCTTTGTATCGTTGAGAAGGGACGTGAGAGTACCTGCACACGCAAATAAGACCCAAATTAGCATTGACCAAGATTTCTATCTAATGTTACACACATTACCATTTGACTAAGAAACTTTGGCCGGAAGGTGACTCCACCCAATGGTCCTCCTTGAAACAAGAATTCAACAGCTCCCACTCGGACTGTGGCAACTCAGGGAGGTTCAGAAACACCAACTCATTGAACATAGGATCGTTATCGAAGTGGAGATCATAAGAGCACAAGTAGTTGCCTCCAGGAGCAGGCAAATAGAACCTTTGATCTCTCTTCGAGTACATAAGATTTGAGTTTTCCGAGCAGACGAAAGGGATTTGTTTGTTAGTCCAACAGAGGTCACGACCGGGCCTGCACATACTCAGTTGGTTACCCAAGAAATTGATAGCCACTACACAGTCTTCTTCCTCATTGTCTTGGTGAGGAGAAGATGAAGACATTGCCACGTTCCAGACAACATCTGTTTGGCCATAGATCATAGTAGTAAGCAGAGGCAGAGGAATTATCTTGGTGTTTGACTTGGAAGCCAGGGGATTAAAAAGGTCGCTGATACGTACAGAATTATGATTGCATCGGTCAGAGAAAAATGTCCATCCATGTGAAGCTCCGACCAGTTTTGAGTTAATAAGCTCTTCAGGTATTGTTTTGTCCTTGACTGTGACTAACTCTTCCTTGGCCGGATCGAACAAGAGGATATCTCCGATGTAGCCGCCGCCTTCTCCCGGCAAGTCTTCACCAACGCTGCCAAGTGTCAAATACGGGCTTGTTGAAAACAAGCGAACGCTCTTGTGTATCTGCCAATGAATTAAACTCAGACATGAGAACAGAAAAGTGAAACATAACCTCTTGTCTAACTACTCCACCATCTTCAAATCCCTATCTTCCTAATGTCATTTCTTAGGGACAATCTCAAAAAAACCTAATTATAATACAGAACGAAACCAATAAAGAGAGAAGTCAAGAGAAGCGTACATACAAGCACATTGTTCCGGGAAGAGAGTTTGGAGAGATGGAAGAGAAGCTGAGACATTATTATTCAAGTGACCACAAAATAAAAACGCCAAAGAAATATTTTGATGAATTAGAAATTGAGTCTCCTATCTTAACCAGTCCACCATTTTAAAAAAGAGAGCAGAGCCAAGTTTTTCTTTACTCTTTCCTTTTTGGTGAAACAAACTTATGGAATCTTGCCAAGCCAATGTACTCGTTTCTAGCAGCAAGAAGCCTTTTCTATTCCAATTTACCTTTTCAACTTTTATTTTTTTGCTCACTTTCTATATTTATTTATTACGCAATATTCATCACTTCACCATGGACCCACTCGGTCAAAGAAAACAAGTACTAAAGAATTAATAATCACGTGACCTCCAAACTAACCACATTTCATAATAAACTTAATTACACTCGGATTAGTAAATGATTTATGTAAATTTGTAAACCGGTTAATTAGAATTTTAACCGTTCTGTCGTTACCCTTGTGGGTAAGAGAAAAACTTCAGACTTTATCTCTTGTAGACTCAATTCGTGGCGGGGAATAATATTTGGTTATGTAAACTTTTAAAACAATTTCATGCAAAAAAATTATGATATTCAGTAATGATACTTTTCCTTTCGTTATGTTTTCTTTAATAAATGACACAGTAGTAGACCTAGTGACTAATAATATAAGGAATTGTTACATTGACTTTTCAGGAAACGGATTTGACTTTGGCAATAATAAGTGGACCAGTTGTGATTTCCATCATGGCGTACGTCGTGGATCACGCCAAAAACGGTAACACATGCTATCTCATGTGTGGTTCATGTCACATAACCCAAAATGAAATCCCAGTTGGTCAGTCTCATCTATATATTTTCTATTTATACACATAACAGCACAAATCCACAAGGAGACACACCTCGTACGTATTAGACTTAAGTCACTACAAAAACAATGGCGCTACCGCATTTTCTACTGGTAACGTTTCCGGCTCAAGGTCACGTGAACCCATCTCTTCGTTTTGCTCGTCGGCTCATCAAAACCACCGGGACACGTGTCACTTTTGCCACGTGTCTCTCTGCCATCAACCGCTCTATGATCCCAGACCACAACAACGTCAACGATCTGCTCTCTTTCCTTACTTTCTCCGACGGATTCGACGACGGAGTCATATCCAACACCGACGACGTCCAAAACCGGTTGCTGAACTTCGAACGTAACGGCGATAAAGCTCTATCGGATTTCATCGAAGCTAATCTAAATGGTGACTCTCCCGTGACTTGCTTGATCTACACGATTCTTCCCAACTGGGCTCCAAAAGTGGCGCGTAGATTTCACATTCCCTCTGTTCTTCTCTGGATCCAACCAGCCTTCGTTTTCGACATTTATTACAATTACTCTACAGGAAACAACTCTGTTTTCGAGTTCCCGAATCTTCCTTCTCTCGCAATCCGCGATCTTCCTTCTTTCCTCTCACCTTCCAACACGAACAAAGCCGCACAAGCAGTATATCTAGAACTGATGGAGTTTCTCAAAGAAGAATCTAACCCGAAAATTCTCGTCAACACATTCGATTCGCTGGAGCCAGACTTCTTAACAGCTATTCCGAATGTAGAAATGGTGGCAGTTGGTCCTTTACTTCCTGCGGAGATTTTCACTGGAAGCGAATCAGGTAAAGATTTATCAAGAGATCAAAGTAGTAGTTATAAACTTTGGTTAGACTCGAAAACAGAGTCCTCTGTTATTTATGTTTCTTTTGGAACAATGGTTGAGTTGTCCAAGAAACAAATAGAGGAACTAGCGAGAGCACTCATAGAAGGGAAAAGACCGTTCTTGTGGGTTATAACCAATAAACTCAACAGAGAAGCAAAAATCGAAGGAGAAGAAGAGACAGAGATTGAAAAGATAGCAAGTTTCAGACATGAGCTTGAAGAGGTTGGGATGATTGTGTCGTGGTGTTCGCAGATAGAGGTTTTGAGACACCGAGCCGTAAGTTGTTTTGTGACTCATTGTGGGTGGAGCTCATCGCTGGAGAGTTTGGTTCTCGGCGTTCCAGTGGTGGCGTTTCCGATGTGGTCGGATCAACCAGCGAATGCGAAGCTTTTGGAAAAAATATGGAAGACAGGTGTGAGGGTGAGAGAGAACTCGGAAGGTTTAGTGGAGAGAGGAGAGATAAAGCGGTGTTTGGAAGCAGTGATGGAGGAGAAATCTGAGGAGCTGAGGGAAAGCGCAGAGAAATGGAAGCGTTTAGCGATTGAAGCAGGTGGAGAAGGAGGAAGTTCGGACAAGAACGTGGAGGCTTTTGTGAAGACTCTCTGTTTTGAGGTTGTATAAAACATCAATGCTCACAACGTGAATTGCACAGATTCATGTTGTAGGTGATTCATGTATAGTTGGAGTTTACTAATTATATGCATCTTCTTTGATTCAATAAACTTGTAGGTACAATATTACTATTAAAAAATGTTATTGTGATTCCCGTTTAAATTTTGTTGCATTTAATTCATTAGTCTAATATTTAATTTAGATGTGGATTACACAAAGTTTCTTTGATATTTCGAATATGATAAAGGTAAATAAAACGATAAATCATAGTTTTTAAAAAAATTATTTTTGTTTTTCAGTAAAAACAACTCTGACAAAGAAAAACCGCTGAAGAAGGTTTGGATTGGCCAAGTGATGTCACATTTTCCAAAATGTAAGAAAAACAAAACATTATACGATTTTTTTTTGGGAAAAATGTCGTTTAATAGCCGAACTTTAAAAAAATGGCTGTTTAATACGTGAACTTCTTATATGGCCAAATTAAACATAAACTTAATGTTGACCGGTCATTTTAACTAAATGTATTCGTTGACCAGGCCAAAACGCCAAACCGTTAACAGTAACTAACAGAGCCGATAACGACCGTTTACACTCGTTAACGATTCCGTTATTAGTCAAAACGGCGTCGTTTCAGACCTAATCTAAACCTTGAAAATCCCCAATTTCATTCTCAAATCCCTAATTTTCAAAATCTAAACCTTTGAGACAATTAAGATCTTGATTAAAATCATCATTAAAACATTTTAATTAGTTTCGGTAATGAAACTGAACGTGAAGAGATCGATGTCTTACAAAGAGACAAAACACGTCTTCAACACTTTCCTCCATAATTCCCGGTTTGCCCATCATTCCATAACGGTGCCTCTGAATCAACAATGATCTGCCAAACTTTTTGATTTCATTTTCGTTTATGAAAAATGATGGAAGATGGAAACAAATTGGATCGGAAGAAGACAATGACGATGAACTGGGAAGGATTAGGAGATTTTGAAGATGAAGATGATGATAGATTCTTCGAAACTCATGATCGTCTCTCTTCAGCTCTAGCTTTTGACATGTCTGCTGCTTCTTCTTCCGATGAAGATGAAGATTTTGACGATTGTCGTCTCTCGTTTTCCTCCGCCGTTTCTTCCTTAACCACCGCGTCAAGGAAATTGCGTACGCTGGCGATGTCTCCTGATTACGATATTTGGATGGCTGCTCCGGGATCGATATCTGAGCGTCGTCGTCGTCTTCTCCATGGGATGGGACTTGTTAGTAATAAAGATATGGTTAGTGCTGTTTCGATTCGTCGTGTTGTTTCTAACGCGGCTGTTGTTAGTAATGGAGAAGATAAGAAGATGAAGAAGAAGATTATGAATGGTGAGGTTGATGATGAGAATTAGGAATTTGAGAATGAAATTGGGGATTTTGAAGGTTTAGATTAGGTCTGAAACGACGCCGTTTTGACTAATAACGGAATTGTTAACGAGTGTAAACTGCCGTTATCGGCTCTGTTAGTGACTGTTAACGGTTTGGCGTTTTGGCCTGGTCAACGAATACATTTAGTTAAAATGGCCGGTCAACATTAAATTTATGTTTAATTTGGCCATATAAGAAGTTCACGTATTAAACGGCCATTTTTTGAAAGTTCGGCTATTAAACGACATTTTTCCCTTTTTTTTTTTTTAGTTAGAAGATTTGGTCAATGTTAACATAAGTTGATGATGAATTCAATTAGTTGCAAAAAAAAACCCAAAATCCATTTGCCATTAATTACTCTGTTCCTTTTAACCCTAAAAAAGAATGTATGTTAGAGACAGACGACTCTCTCTCTCTACTCATAAAATCTCTCACATATATAGATAGATCCCTTTCCACAGTTACGTCTCTGCTTTGAGGTCGCCTGAAACTGTCGATAGATCACAAATTCTGATTCAAAGCAACAATCTTTGCCATCCAATTTTCTTCGATCTTAAAACCATGTCAGAGATGGCGAGTATGGATCCAGAAGGAATCGATGGAGTTCGTATGACGTGGAACGTTTGGCCTCGTACCAAAGTTGAAGCAAGCAAGTGTGTGATCCCTGTCGCTGCTTGTATCTCTCCGATCCGTTACCACCGTGATATTCCATCTGTTGATTATGCTCCTCTTCGTTGTCGCACTTGTTCCGCTGCTCTTAATCCTTTTGCTCGTGTTGATACCCACGCCAAGATCTGGATCTGCCCTATTTGCTTCCAGCGAAACCACTTCCCTCATCACTACCATGCTATCTCCGACACTAATGTGCCTTGTGAGCTGTATCCCCAGTACACTACCGTTGAATACACTCTGCCTAACCCTTCTCAGCCTACTGGTGCTGGGAATTTTGATCAGAGTGGTGCTGTTTCCGGCCAGCCATCGCCGTCGGTGTTTGTTTTTGTCTTGGATACGTGTATGATTGAGGAGGAGTTTGGATACGCGAAATCTGCGCTTAAGCAGGCGATCGGGTTGCTTCCGGAGAATGCATTGGTTGGGTTTGTCTCGTTTGGGACGCAGGCGCATGTTCACGAGTTGGGTTTTTCTGATTTGACTAAAGTTTATGTCTTTAGGGGAGATAAGGAGATCTCCAAAGATCAAATTTTGGAGCAGTTAGGGCTTGGTGCTTCTGGGAGACGAACCCCTGTTGGTGGCTTTCCAATGGGGAGGGATAATTCCGGCAATTCCGGCTATTCGGGTGTTAATAGATTCTTGTTGCCAGCTTCTGAGTGTGAATTCACGATTGATTCGGTAAGTTTATCCAGTATTTTTGGTTGGAGTTTGATAAAGTTTATGCTTTTCTGATGATGATGATGAAGAACTTTTTTTTTGTTTTGGAGTGTAGCTGTTGGAAGAGCTACAGACGGATCAGTGGCCTGTCCAGGCTGGACGTCGCCAGTCTCGGTGCACTGGAGTGGCTTTAAGTGTGGCTACGGGACTGCTTGGAGCTTGTTTTCCTGGAACTGGGGCTAGAATCGTTGCTTTAATTGGAGGACCATGTTCTGAGGGGCCAGGCACGGTAACTTCATTTGCTTATTCCCCTTCCTTTTAGAGTTTCTGTGACAGTGTACCTGAGAAAATCAGGATAAACTTTGGCTTTTTACATACGGAATTGTTCAATATCTGGTTTAGATTTAATGTATGAACCTCTTGTAGTGGTAAGGGTGACAGTTGGCCATGATAGTTAGGAGAAGATGATGTATATAAATGCTATTTTTCTATTGCCAGATTTGGTAGAGCATCACCATCTAGCCTAAATAGGATGAAACTAGCTATGTTGCTTAAGATAGCATGACTTTTTCATCACAAGTCTGTTAGGTTGCAATCTTGAACTATATGTATTTTGTGTTCATGTTCTGCTGAGCTACGTGTGGGATATGCATCTTCATATTAGATGACCATTTATCTGCAAGTATAATGGTCGACAAAAGTGTTTAGGAGAAGAGCACACTCTGAACTTTCCTTGTTTATTATTTGGCCTCAAATACAAAGTTTTTCCTTTGAGTTAGTACTACCTCTGGCTTCTGCAGATTGTGTCAAAGGATCTATCAGAACCTTTGCGTTCACATAAAGATCTCGATAAAGATGCGGCTCCTTTCTATAAGAAAGCAGAGAAATTTTATGATGCTCTCGCAAACCAACTGGTGAACCAAGGACATGTACTGGACCTTTTTGCATCCGCACTTGATCAGGTATTTACTTTCCCTGAATGTAATCTTCATGTTAAGGAGAAACCTCTGATTAACTTCCTTGCTCTGTGCTCTAACTTTACTCAGAGCCATGGTATTCTGTTGAACCCTACTTTAATGTGGATCGTAATTATATTTTTTGTGTTTTAAATGTTAGGTTGGTGTTGCTGAAATGAAAGCTGCGGTTGAAAGAACTGGAGGACTTGTTGTTTTATCAGAAAGTTTTGGCCATTCTGTATTTAAGGATTCCTTTAAGCGAGTATTTGAAGATGGCGAAGAGTCTCTTGGCCTTTGTTTCAAGTTAGTTGTTGCTATAGCCTGATGTTCTTCGTGCTATTTCAATTGCCCATGCACGCTAAATCAAATTTTCTAAGTGTCTTATGTTTGCATCTAAGACATCTTCAGTTAGTCGCATTCTCACTCGTTTTCATACTACCATTTCAGTGGTACACTTGAGATCTGCTGTTCAAAGGACATAAAAATCCAAGGGATTATTGGGCCTTGTGCGTCATTGCAAAAGGTTGAAGCTACCCATACTCAGACGTTCATCTTTTTGTCTTTATAATGGTAGATAGCTAACAGTTATGCCTCCTTTTTTTTGAAACAATTGCAGAAAGGCCCTAGCGTTGCTGATACAGTTATTGGGGAGGGGAATACTACAGAATGGAAGATGTGTGGCCTCGATAAAAGTACGTGTTTGACAGTCTTCTTTGATCTTTCTTCTAGTGATCAATCAAGTACTCCTGGAGGTGGAAATAACCAACTATATTTACAATTTATGACAAGGTATCCTCTTCATGCAATTCTGGGTTTGGGTATGTTCATCCAAATAATAGAAATTTGATCTTAAATATATGATTGCAGCTACCAAAATTCAAAAGGTAAAACATTACAGCGAGTAACTACTGTTACCAGACAATGGGTAGATACTGCTCTTAGCACAGAGGTTAGTATTTTCCACATTAGTTTTGTACAAATTTTTGCATTTGGCTACTTCATTATGGGTTTCTCTACCCCAAGAATGGTCGAATTTGTCCTGGTCCACTGTTTTTGCATTTGTTTTGTCTTTAATTATCGTTAGTCTCTTTAGCTATTTGAATGGTCAGTGTGAGGATTACACGGGGAAACTGATCCATTTGACTAGTCTCTGGATAGGCATGAATTAGATTTTTCTTATGTTCTCGTATCTTCCTGGTAGCATGGCTGATTGGGTGTGGATTGTTTGCTTGTTTTAAGACAAGTTGACACATCATTTCCTTGTTTATTAACACTAGTGCTTCAGTTACAACTGGAACTTACATCAACTTGGAGAAAACAGTTTTCTAAAATTTGTTTAGTGTCTAGAGTATGCATCAACATTTCGTAATGTTTACCTTCTTAGCGCTTAGTTATGTTGCAATCTAGAGTCTTGCATGTTTGTATTCCACATTCATATTTATTTTATTTTATTGTCGTACATACTCTTATGGTCTTTTTAACCTACATATTTTCTTCTTTGTACGGGGACTGGATGCTAATGAAGTGTGTTGTATCTATAGGAATTGGTGCAAGGTTTTGATCAAGAAACTGCTGCTGTGGTGGTAGCCAGATTGGCCTCCTTGAAAATGGAAACAGAGGTAAATTTCAAATCGAGGCACTTTCAAACTCTAGATTCTTGAATCTTCAGTCCTTGGTGCTTTCTGCCGATTTGCATTTTTGCTAATTCTTATATTGTATTGGGACAAGTTAAGAAAAAATGTGGTTTGTATGTTGGAATGTTACAACATTTATATTGTGGATTTTCAGTGTATAATTGGAATTTATTTTTACCATTACTTAAGCCAAACTTTGTGGATTTTGATTATCAAACGTATTAATTATTGTCAATGATGATCTCCTCAGGAGGGATTTGATGCTACGCGATGGCTGGACCGGAACCTTATTCGTCTTTGTTCTAAATTTGGTGATTACCGGAAGGATGATCCTGCTTCTTTTACTCTAAATCCAAACTTTTCACTATTCCCTCAGTTTACGTTTAATCTCCGACGCTCACAATTTGTGCAGGTAAGTTTGACATATGAGAAGCTGTAATAATTTATATATGTCAGATTCATAACTGGTCCGCCCATCTTTAAATGTCCTTATGGTGTGGTGATATTGGCAGGTATTCAACAATAGTCCAGATGAAACTGCTTACAGCCGCATGCTATTGAACCGAGAAAGTATTTCAAACGCAGCCGTTATGATACAGCCATCTCTAACAACATATTCGTTTAACTCACTACCTCAACCTGCATTGTTGGATGTTGCTTCCATCGGTGCAGACCGTATCCTCTTGTTGGATTCTTACATTAGTGTTGTCGTTTTCCATGGAATGACCATTGCACAGTGGCGCAACATGGGATATCAAAATCAGCCTGAACACCAGGTAATGAATATGCAAGTTGCAATTGACCTTGGATTTTATTGAATATCAGTTTTACATGTCTCATTTGATCTCTTTATTTATTAAGGCATTTGCACAACTCTTGGAAGCCCCTCAAGAAGATGCACAGATGATCATTCGTGATCGTTTCCCTGTACCAAGATTAGTTGTTTGTGATCAACATGGATCCCAGGTTAGTGATTTTACCCTTTCATCTCTAAATTTGTAGTTGAATTCTTTGAAGTGTGGAACACTGGGGTTGCTAGTGTTTATTGATGTTTTGTAATGCGTATGGCAATAATGGACAGGCAAGGTTTCTCTTAGCAAAGCTAAATCCTTCAGCGACATACAACAATGCGAGCGAGACGAATGCAGGCTCCGATATAATCTTCACGGATGATGTCAGTCTTCAAGTCTTCTTCCAACATCTTCAGAAATTGGCTGTTCAATCTTGAGAACACAGAGGTCTCTCTCTGCCCCTCCACTTCAATTGAGAGAAGCCTGAGACAAGTACAAATAAAGAAGATGCAGTCATCGCTCACCAGAATGCCTGAGTGTTTTAGGTTTCTTATACACACATGACAAGACTACGCTTCTGTTCCCTTTCTTTTCACTGAGGTTTTTTGTTTATCACAGTGATTCAACAAATTTTGTAGTTTCATTTGGTCATAGTATTATTATCTTTTCTCTAAGGTTGTACCCGAAGATTATGTTCTAATTGATAATCCGTTCCGTTATATAATACGCAGGTTTCTTGTGATGTCATCTAGATTGTCGATGTATTATTTTAGGTACCATAAGGATTTGATGAAATCGGACACATAAATAAGAACGTTAGGAGTCAAGAAGACAAAATATTAAAAACGATTTGATGCCATATACTAACTATTTCAAGTGTATTTTACAACTTATACACATGATCGATTGAGGGCTATAACAAAAGCAAAGCTCGATCGCTTCTTTATTTATTCTTTTCTTAAGTTGTCTATTTAACTGTAACTTAAACGAAGACTCTTGGAACGGACTCGACCGGCTTTATGTCAACCTCTCGCACCTCCAGCTTGAGGCCTTTGCCTCCTCCATTTGCCAAGGGATGGATCCCATGGTCTGGTCCCTTCATATAAGCCCTTGACTCTCTTTCCTTTTCCATCGATACTCCAAACTGCTTTTCCGTCTCTGCGGTCACCCATTGAACATTTCAAAATGTTCATGTAATGTTTCATGAGTTCATAACTCAAAAATATATTTGAGCAAGCATAACCGGTGTAAACACACACTCCTAGTTAGTTCGATAAGATAAAGACCAATTTACGTACCCTTGATCATTTCCGGATAAAGTTGACCGTCTCGAGTAACGGCCATCATGATATTAGGCAAGCCAATGGGAAGGTCATGCCCCTTATCGACTTGCCAGAAATGGTAAACTTTCCCATAAGTCTTGGCGACTTTTTCGAGATCTTGGCGTTGAATAGCTTCTGGAACACCGGGCATGAACAAGAAGCCTCCTTTAACTTCCCACTCGTGAGTGTGCCAAAGCTTCTTCTCATCATCAGGCAATGTCATAAAGAGCTTCTCTGTCACAATGTACTCCAAACCGATCAGACGAGCGTTGGCATCAGGACCGTCGTAGATCAGACACTGACGCATGTCTTCGTTGATGTGACCGCAAAAATGGTGTGCCTCCACTTGTCGGGTCATGTCATATGCATAAAAATGAAACCTATGACAAACGCAAAAAAGAGAGGATATCAAATAGGAAAAAATCAAGAATTTGATTTAACTTGATCTATATATATATATATATATATAATATAAGATATCAAAAAGTTCTTATCTAAAATACAATAATTTGACAGATCTAATATAGGAAAAAATTTGGTGTAAATATTAAATAACAAATTTTATCCTTCACTTCTTTATTTATTCTAAAACATAAATGAAAAGAGAGGATTAACGAGTTCAGTAGCGTACGCGCAGAGATGTTGGTGGATTTGGTTAATCGGAGCGAAGCTTTGTACGGCTGAAGCTGCCGTGTCAACCATGGAGGTTCCGGTCTTCGTTGGCTCTCCTGGAACCTTGGGTCCATTTTTTGTAGATAAATGAACTGTCTTCTCCATTACACCAATCAATTACTGTAATTCTCTTTTCTCTGCAAGTAATAACTAGCAGCAAGTGAATAAGAGACCGTGCTTGTATAGGTCTGGTCTTAATACATAGAAGTGAGCATTTGCATGGACTATGACACATGGCAAACATTGAAGGTGTCACCGACTGTGCGTGGCTTATTTGAGCTAGTCGAAATGTTATTATGTGTCAAGAGATTCGAAGCTGATTATGATAGCGAAGCAAATTTGGTGTAGATTAATATGGTGATACGTGTACACGAGATTTTATGGTGCAAGGTAGAAAATTATTGAAGGATTGTGATGCACGCAAAGACCAAACCCCTTATGACATCTGAGTTGGACATGTTTGCTTATGAAGCAAGTACACAAGTATTGTCTAGGGTTTTCAGAAAAAGAGGAAAACTCATATTCGAGTCCATAGCTTCTGGGCTACATGCGGACTCTTCTCTGTTTGACAAAGTAAATCCGTTTGAAGCTACTAGACAAAATGTACATTAGAAGTTGAGAATCTTTCCCATTAAGCTTAGGAGTCGCGATAAATTGATTGAGCCATCCACTTGAGATGCAACTGAAGCTTGCCCGTTTTGGATTCGTCTAATGGGTACCAGTCTTTGTATTCCTCTTCCATTATAACCCTTGTCAACGTGAGGATACATCTGCCAATGTAGTCCTGTCCACAAAGTAAAGCCACAACGTCCAATGCCAATACGATAAATATCCATTTGATGCAATGCAGCGGAATAAAGATGGTTAAGTAACAGTGTTGTTGCTGTTTGGTTTTACCTTTCCAAAGGTGTCGTGGTCCCAGACTTCAAGGACTAGCATATCGTGTAACCCGTCTTCAACTACAAAATCAAAAGTCTGGTTCCAAACCGGGTTCAAGCTGTCATTGACGACCTGGTGAAGAAAAATTACCATTAGTTAGATGTGAGGAGGATGCAACATGGATAACTCTTTGATGCTTTAAATGAGAGGACTTACCCGAGTTTTGCTCTTGGCACCTGATTTCTTCATCGAGAGAACAACATATGGATCAGCTTTCCCCATCAGATCTTGTATTGGTATCTCTTCTGCAGATATCACTGTCACAGAGAGCACTCCTCTTACAATGACATCTTTTCTTTTACGGCTTGATGCATTTTCTTCATCTGTTGTATCATTCTTGAGCACCCTCTCTAAGGAAGTCATCGATGAAGTGACAAAGGGATTTACGATGCCGTTTCCCGAACCATAAGGGACGTAAAGGAGCTCAAGGTGAACCTAAATTACAGATAATCAACAATAATGTGTATTCATTAGCCATCTACAGATACAAAATCACAGGATTTCTTAATTTGAGGAAATTTATAGCCGATCTAACCTCTCCACGGTTCTTGGTATCTCTCTGGATCTCCAAATCTTTGACCAGCTTCAACCAGACGTCTTTCACTTTACCAGGTTCGAGTTCACAAAGCCGGATTTGGGCACACCCGATAAGCTCAGATGCTTGTATACCCTCGTCATCATATATTCTGACCACTAAATGTTGAGTTGACGCGTCTTCGACAACAAATTCAAAATGCTCATTCCAGATGGGATTCAGGTCATTGTTCTGATGAGAATAAATATAAATCAGATCATTCTGGTAGGTTTAGCACAAAAAGAGAATTAAATGGACTACTTACAATTGTCTTGCTTCTTTTAGTCTTTTCTCGCAAAGGGCGTATAAACATTTTAGCAAAGGGGTCTGATTTTCCAACTAGATCTTTGTTGGTCAAGTTCTTTGCTTGCACAAGCTTCACCTCCAACATTCCAACAGGCTTTAGCTCCAGATCGCTGGGAATAGAAACACAAAAAAGCTAAAATAAAAGTCCAAAACCAGAAAGACAAGGACCATCATTTGCCTTGACAGTTCGAAAGTGCTATAACACAATAGTAAGAAAGTCAAAAACGAGAAAAAAAATGTTGAGCATATCTTCCACTGAAGAACATCAACAGTTCAACTTCATGGATTTCATCTGGGGTGTACCTATAATCACCAGGTATAATTGGGATGACCTTCCGAACAGGCCATGTGATAGAATCTTCCACGGCATCCCGAATTGTTTCCTGAGACATATCAAATTACTGGTAAGTGTCATATGCACCAGAGCATAAAGGACCATCTAAGAGATTACAGCCTTGCATCACTAGCATCAAATGGAGCGTTGGGTAAGAAAATTAGGAGGAAAAGGAAAAGGAACGTATACTATGATTTTACAAAAATAGCATATGAACAACGTTTCATGTGTAGAACTTAAGCTGTTGTTTTTATAGAACTGTCAATTCAAGTTGCCAACCTGTCTAGCAAGTTATAAGATTAACACATATGATTCCACCTATCATTGTAAAAAAAAAAATGCTTAATAGGAAAATGCAATAACCAGAACACCCTGTTGATTCTCGACCACATGTACTTCCTAGCTAAATAAAGACTTGTAACCACCTTGATAGTTTCTTTCTCTAAAATTCCAGAATGACATAAAGATTTGGCATTAAGAAAATAAATAGTAGGCCAAACCTCAATGGCTTCAGAAAGTCCAGGAATTGCTGAAATATCACCTCCAACAACCTTAAGGGTGAAGTCCAATTTTTTCTGCAACACAGAATTGGATGTATAAGCTAATTAACAGACAAAACTAATCATTGCCAGTCGAGGATTTTGTGCACCACAGCTTTCTTCAGTCAAACCAATCTAGCACACATACGTGCATGCTCAGGTATGCAAGCACAAGGATGCAACAAGATTAAGCAAAAGTACAAGAAAAAATTATGAACGATCTTAGCCATCTTCAAAAGCTTTAGTGGGCACTCACCTTTTCTCTAAGAGAAACGCTGACAGCTCCAAAGCAAGGAAAGTCTTCAACTAGTGGCCTAAAAATCAGCCTGAAAACACCAGTGAATCCAATATTTTTCACCTAGAAAACAGAGAATAAGATGTTAGTTGTAATCAGCTTATCATTGATCTAACTAGAAAGGTTAAAATTACAATATCACCTTCACAAGTTCTGCAAGACAGAAGAGTTAACAAATAATATAAAGTCTAAGTAAGCAATCGAGGGAATCCAAATCATATACCTGAATTGGGAGAGATACACCAACTAAGGTCTTGACGCCAAGTACTATATTTGGATTTCCATCCCATTGCATATCAAGTTCCATGGTCACCCCATTTTTATCACCGTCGATAATGGAAACACCTAGCAAACACCAAGGAGCACATGCAAAACATAAATTCTAAAGCAACAAGACAATTTTCCTTTATGATTATGGCTCCTCTTTTTGCAAACTTTAAACACACAACCCGCAGAAATGTAAAGAAGGATACCGCTGCCAGTGCCTGGTTATTTCCCAGTCGAATGTATAATTCACTTCTCAGTGGTTATTCAATTGAATATTTTCCTTTTGACAGGAATTCATTGACTATCACAGAAAAATAGGTTACAATGTGGAGACACGTAACAGTAAGAAACTAAGAACATTCTTAGTCAAGAATGTAAGCTCAAGCTCAAGATTCATATGGACTAACTAAACCTAAAAGTTCACAAGCAAAGGGGTTCCACGGCCAATTCAATATGATTCAATTGCACATGTTCTGGTACCTCAACACAAAGTAATACATTTCAAAACTAACCTGTAAATTGAGGCGCCACTGTACCGAGAGTAAGCTTAGAAAACGTTAAGGAGGCCACTATGGCAGGTCTATATTGCTCGAGAACAGGCTCCACGGATGCCTTTATAAGCTCAGAGGCTGCCTAAACTCCAATGAATAAAAACAGGAGAAAAAAGAACCCTCCTTTAGAAACAATATCTTCATCCATAATACAAATAACATATCTCTACCTCAATGAAATTTGACAATAGAAACATACCTCATCAACATAAGGCCAGATCTTTGTCAAGTGATGGTTAAGCCAAGTCAACTGAAGTAAATAAAAAGGCAAAGCAACAACAAGAATCAGTCCTGAATATGACCAAATTCTACAACTTTCGTGTCTACCAAAACGCAAAAGGAGAAAGATATCAATGTAATGTAACTCAACTTCTGACGCTCGGAGAAGACAACCCAGGAAGGATAAAACTCAGGAGGCAAAAGCTTCCTGGAATCCTCCACCGTCATCCTCGCAAAAGCAGCCACCGTATTCGCCTGATAGAAAGAAACACAATCCCGATTAAGAAAGTTAGCTGACAAATCGAATTTTTCAATCAAAAAGGGAGGGAGTGGGGTCTCACAAGTTCAGAGCGAAGCTTGGATCGAGAATTCTCCAACTTGACAAAGCCGATGATGATTGCGACTCCGACGACGAGTCCGATCACAACGCCGACTATGAAACCCATTTATATCGCCGGATTTCGAAAATTGCAATGTCCGTACTTTAATTTAGTACACCAGATTCAGTTTCGCGAGCTAACCCGAATGAGAAAAGACAAAGTAATCTATTTATTTTCTAAGAAATCTCTTTTAAGGAAAAGAATACTAGTAAAAAAAAGGGCTATATTAATTGATATATGTGAAAAGGGTTTTGATTTTTAATTTGGGATTAGTGAAAAGATTAGTCCGAAGAGGTGGTCGCTACCGACGCAAAAGGTTGTGCTTTCGTTAGCACCAATAATACGTTGACACGTCACGTAATTGGGAATTACGTGCGATTTTGACTTTGACCTGAAATAGAAAAAATAGCCGTAAAAATAAATAAATAAAAAAAGATTCTTCCCCGGAACATACTGGCAATGACAACAAAGATTCAGCTTTGCATTCTCCTTAGGATTCAGTACTTGTATGTTCTTAGGGGACCAACTGTTGATACTTGATGTTTATACCTTTAAATTTACATACCGTGATTGTTATTATAGATAGATGACTGGTTTGGGATGATGGTTACGGCTCATTGAGGTAAATGTGATGGTCTTAAGAAGGGAGGCACAGGAGGATGAAACTAACTCATAAAGAAGCTTAGGTTTTTTTAATCTCTCTGTTTTCTTTACCATTGCTATTTATTGAAAAACAAACAATTTGCTTTTTCTCTAATGTGCTTTGTTTCAATAACAATGGAAGAAGGTATACACTATAGAGTTTAAATGAAAATTATTCTCTTAATTTTGTTATTCAGTTATGTATATGTGCTTCTTTCTAATACCCCTCTTAAAACTTGTCTTGTCACACAAAAAAAATTACGAGATCAGTGGTCCCATCTGCAAGTTGTTATCTCTGTTTAACACAGTTTAGCCTTTTTCGTAATTTGTCAAATGCTCATAGGATGTCATGTGTTCATTACTGCGGTTAGATAAAAAAGGTAGGCACTTAAAGGGAAGTTGGTACATAAATTTCTTTCTTCATATTTTACAACTTGTTGGTGATGTTAATTAATGACCAAGTTCCAATATCACTTACTGAGTTTGCGTGACCTCATAACCTCTCTATATTATTAATGGGGCTTGTAGGAATCTTCCCTCTTTGTAATGATGTTCTTTGCTAGTACTTTATACCTTGGTTTGTATATGTTGTAACTTGTAAGTAATTATTTTGGTTGCCTTTTCTTTCAATCACAATATTCTTAGATTTTTAAAAATGATAAATATCTAATATTGAAATTAAATGCCAGTCAGAGCAAGGTAGTTGATTTCAAGTCCAATGTCCAATCCCATTTGAGATTCTTTTATAAAATAAATGATTCGAATTTGTTCATCTAAGTTTTAATAACAAATCTATATTGGTAAACTAAAATATTACATTTCGAAACAAATACAAAAGGAAAATCAGATTAAAAAAAATAAAAATTTTGAATGAAATTTCTTCTTGCCTGCAGTTTGAGTGACGTTTTAGGTTAGCTGATGACTCAGAATTTCTGAGTGGTCAAAAAAGTAATTGAGAAAAGAAAAAACAAAGCTTGAAATGGAAACTGATTAATGAGCTGGTTTTTCGAAATGTAAGGGAAAAAATTGACCAAAGAAAAAAGCAGAGTGTGTGGAAAAATAGTACGTTTTGGCGGTATGAGAGTCCTCCTGAATTAGTATGCTTCTTTGGCTTTGCCATCACGCTTTCTTCATGCTCTTTTCTCTCTGCCCATCTCTCTCTGTTCCATTTTCTGAAACCACTAAATTTTCTCTCAAAAGTCAAGAACTTCATCATCTTCCTCTCAAACGTTTGATCTCAGACCCCAGTGAAAGATTCAATTTTTCTTGTCTAAGGTTCTTTATCTCTCTCTCTCTCTCCTCTGTTTCTTTACAGACCCATTGTCTTCTTCTTACAGTCTTTCTTTTTAAGATCTTTGTGTTTGCTCTAATGGAGTGGATTGGGAAGAGAGTGAAGTCCCGGAGCTGGCAGCGTCTTCAGGTGGTTAACAAGCGGAAGAAGATGGAGACTGTAGCTCCTGTGACATCTCCTCCAAAGAAACGACGGCAGAAGAAACGAAAAGACCCTGATTCTGATATTGAGGACATAACACCAACTTACAACGACCGTGTTCCTCCTCCTCAAGTCAGTAACAGGTACTCTGTACCTAACAACTCTGTAAAAGAGAGTTTTTCTAGGATAATCAGAGATCTGAATGTGGAGAAGAAATCAGGTCCAAGCTCCTCTAGGTTAAGAGATGGGTCTGAACAGAACCCATGTGTGAAAGAGAGTTCTTTTAGGGTTAGTGATCTGGGTGTGGAGAAGAAATGTTCCCCTGAGATTATACCAGTTCCGAGCTTTTCTAAGTTAAAGGATGGGTCTGAACAGAAGAACACATGTCTGAATGAGAAGACTTCTCCTGAGATTACTGATTTGGATGTTGTAATATCCGTTCCCAGCTCTTATGTCTTAAAAGATATGTCTGAAGAAAACAGATTTTTGAAGGAGAAGTGTTCTCCTGAGATTAGAGGTTTGGTTGTTGAAAAATCAGTCCTTCGTGAAATAGAGATTCTTTCAGATTCTGAGTCTGAAATTGAAGCTAGAAGAAGAGCTTCAGCCAAGAAGAAGCTATTTGAGGACAGCAGCAGAATTGTAGAGTCTATCAGTGATGGCGAAGATAGCACAAGTGAAACCGATGAAGAGGAAGAAGAAAATCAAGATAGTGAAGATAATAACACCAAAGATAATATAACGGTGGAGTCTTTGTCTTCTGAGGATCCATCTTCATCATCATCATCATCATCATCATCATCATCTTCCTCTTCTTCCTCGAGTGACGATGAAATATATTTAAAGGAGGTAGTTGGAGATAATACAGATGATGATGACTTGAGAAAGGCCAGTTCACCAATCAAGAAAGTCTCTTTAGCGGAAAGGAAGCCTTTGGTAAGGTATAAGAGGTCTGGTTCTAGCTTAACCAAGCCTATAACAAAGGACAAGAAGATTCAGAAACTAAACCACCGAGAAGAAGAAGAAAAAGAACGACAAGGAGAAGTTGTAAGAGTAGTAACAAAGCAGCCGAGCAATGTTGTGTTCACTTGTGCTCACTGTGGCAAAGAGAACACAGGAATCCCTGAATCTCACAGCTCTTTCATCAGACCGCATTCATTAAGAGATGAAATTGAGGATGTGGACAACTTTGCTTCTACTAATGTATCAAAGTATGAAGATTCTGTTTCCATCAACTCTGGGAAGACAACTGGAAATCCATCCAGACCTGAAGTGGAGAATGCAGAGACAGGAAAAGAAGTAAAAAAATTTGAGAAGCCATCCATATCCAGACCTGAAACTTTCACTACAGAGAAAGCAAAAGAGGTACAAGTACCTGAAAAGCCATCAACACCTGAAATTTTCGGTTCAGAGAAAGCAAAAGAGGTACAAGCACCTGAAATGCCATCAAGACCTGAGATTTTCAGTTCAGAGAAAACAAAAGAGCCACAAGCACCTGAAATGCCTTCAAGACCTGAGATTTTCAGTTCAGAGAAAGCAAAAGAGCCACAAGCACCTGAAATGCCATCAAGACCTGAAATCCAGAATTCAGAGAAAGCAAAAGAGGTCCAAGCCAATAACAGCTTTGGTTTGATGACACCTACAGTTGCAGTTGCGGAGGGGTTAAATAAGTCTGTTGTGACTAATGAACATGTTGATGATGACTCTGACTCTTCTATTAGCTCTGCAGATGGATATGAATCTGATCCTACTCTAAAAGACAAAGAGGTCAAGGTTAATAACAACTCGGATTGGAGAATGATGAATGGAAACCATAAAGAAGTTGATCTATTCAGGCTTCTTGTAAACTCTGTTTGGGAGAAAGGTCAATTAGGTGAGGGAGAGGAAGAAGCAGACGAACTAATTTCTTTACCTGAAGACCAATCTCAAGAACAAGCAAAGGAAGATCAAAGAAAATATGATGATGATGGACTTCTAATCATTAGGCCACCACCATTGATAGAGAGATTTGGTGTGGAGGAGCCTGAATCACCACCTGTGGTTTCTGAGTTAGATTCAGAGGAAGAGACGTTGTGGGAAGAACTAGCATTTTTCAGTAAATCTAATGAAATCGGCGGCAACGAGCTTCCTTCAAATGTAATTTCTTGTTTTCTCCAAAACAGTACATTTATCTCCTTTTGTTAAGAACAAGGTAAATCTAACTTGAAATGTTTGCAGGTAGAGAAAGATATATTAACTAAAGAAACTCCAGCAGCACAATGTAAAAAAGGGAATCACGAGCTGTGTCTTGATCTTGAGGTTGGTTTGAAGTGTATGCACTGTGGCTTCGTGGAGAGAGAGATCCGAAGCATGGATGTATCTGAGTGGGTAAGGAATTTGTAGTATTCAGTGAAATGATTAAACCGTTAAACTAAAAGGTTCGATGGTAACTCTAGTGTATGTTTCTTCATGTAGGGAGAGAAGATTACACGGGAAAGGAGAAAAATTGATAGATTTGAAGAGGAAGAAGGCAGCAGCTTCATTGGGAAACTTGGTTTTGAACCTCCTAACAACAGCTTAAATGAGGGATGTATTTCTTCTGAAGGAACTGTTTGGGATAAGATCCCAGGGGTCAAATCTCAAATGTATCCTCACCAGCAAGAGGGTTTTGAGTTTATCTGGAAGAACTTAGCCGGTACAATCTTGTTGAACGAGCTCAAGGACTTTGAGAACAGCGATGAGACGGGAGGATGCATCATGTCACACGCTCCCGGGACAGGAAAAACTCGCCTGACCATCATTTTCCTGCAAGCCTATCTTCAATGCTTCCCAGATTGCAAACCAGTGATCATTGCTCCTGCAAGCTTGCTTCTCACATGGGCAGAGGAGTTCAAGAAATGGAACATAAGCATTCCCTTTCATAATCTCAGCAGTTTGGACTTTACTGGGAAAGAGAGCTCCGCGGCACTGGGGCTTTTGATGCAGAAGAATGCCACTGCAAGAAGCAATAATGAGATAAGGATGGTGAAAATATACTCTTGGATAAAATCGAAGAGCATACTCGGGATCAGCTACAACCTCTATGAGAAGCTTGCAGGAGTTAAAGACGAGGACAAAAAGA